TTTCTTTGAGTACTGACTTCCATTTTTCAATAACCATTTTTTCCAACTCTGGATATTAGATGTGACGAGGCATGCATTATCAAATGCCTTCTATCCTTAATACTTTTTTGATGGTTCACTTGGATACTTTCTCACCTTTATTTAGTTTTGAAAAAGCTGACAAACTACTTTTAAACTATGGCTCCTAGAATCTTTATTATTAAGAACAGCTTTTGTCAATTTTTTCTGTTTTTGTAGTCATTATTTGGGGACGATCTCCAATCGTTATTAATTTTTTAAAACCTGGGAAACTGTTGCCTGAGAACATTCAACAATTTCTGCAGTATTTTTTGCGTAATATAAAAGTTTGTGACATGCAAAAATTGTATTTCTTTGCTCTGAAATAATCTTTTTTGCATAATCCATTTTTTGCGAAAAATTGCGAAAATTCCGAAAATATTTAAATAATATAATTTAAATCAAAATAAACAAAAAAACAATCACGGTTTTAATAAAAACAAATTCATTTTTGATTAGAAAAGCATTGTAAATTACCATAATTAGCTTTATGACATCAATTGTATATGAAAATTAATTAATTAAAGCTTTACGAAAAAATTATTCAATATTTATTTCACCCCCCTGTATATAATGTAATATGTTCCTTTCGATAAAGAATTATTGTGTTTCTCGAATTCAAGCTCAGCAATTACCGGACTTACTGCTGAATCAATTTTTAAACATACATAAAATAAATAAAAAAATAAAAATTTATTTAATAAAAAAACATAATCAATATAACTTTTTTTTTATTAGTTTACTTTCTGACGTGGAAACCGTTTGTGCATCTGGATCAGAAAAGTATCATATGAAGTTGGAAAAACAGTTTTTGGAGACATAGCCGGCTCGTTCCAAAACGAGCCAACGTCTAAAGTCTTTAGCCGAAATATTGTTATTATAAGAAATTTTACATGTAATTTCTTATAAAATACAAATTTGATAAGTAAATCAAATATTTAAATCTAATATACGTGATCGTGATATGAATATAATATTTTTTTTTATATATCATGTAAATATTTATCATCTTAACCTTTCTTGAAGTGACTGAAGAGTCAAAGTGGATTCAATTTCACATAATGTTTGAAAATCTCTTTCAAAACCGGGTAAGTCCCCTTGTATTTGCAATTGAGGAATAGTTATCTCACAAGTTTGACAATTGTAGTCTTATCAATGCAAAAGATATGATATGAGAGTTGCCATAATCTGTAAACTTAAAAATGAACTAATGATGTGGAATGGTTTGCAAATAAAATAGCTATTATATTTAATTTTTCAAGTAGCAGACGGAATAATGAAAAGGTACTGGACATAAAAAAACCGTTTTAGTTTCAATATAATTTAATATAAATGCAAAATTTTAAATTTATTGCAAAAACATCCTTAAATTTTCCGAGCATTACAACTGTCTTAATATTTTGGCAAGTTGACCAAACCAAGGCATTCATTAATTTATCTTTCTCTTCTTGATATTACTATAATCTTTTCTTTTCTTTAATTTCTTTTCTTTTTTAGCTTTAACAACATTGTTCGTTTTTGACTCATGATGATATCTCATCTTCCATATCTTTTTTTTGTTCCAAACGTGTTTTTCAAGTCTCTTAATATGAAAATAAACTACATGAGGAAACCGAAGAAATTTATAACCAAGATTCGTAAATTTGATGAACCAAATTTCGAAAATGACAAGTATTGAAATAAAACTAATTTAATTCAATGCTCTATTTAATAATCATGATATTTTGCCATCGTTAATATACTGATGATTCCAAGTAATGCTTGGGTAATCTCTATAACGAACATGAACGATTCAATCCTACGAAAATTTCTTTTTTTTTTAAAAAAAAAAAAACAAAAAAACAAAAAAAAAATGCAATGATATACATTTATTCACTTACTTCAAGGTTTTCTCAAACATCCTATACAACACCTAACTCCAAATTCACAGCAAATCTCACTTTGTTTATTATGTTTACAAATTTGACAGCCTCGTCGTTACTAATAATTCAAATGCTTTTTGTTCATTCATTCCTTTTGGTGGTGGCATCTCTTGAAAGTATAGTGAGCTAACTTTTTCGGGTAGAATTTTCGATTGAAGTCCTTTTTATAGCGTAATTTTAAATGTGGAAATATAAAATAGCATTTAAATTAATTTAAAACATCATAATAAGCTTTCAAATAATTATCTTCTGACAAATTCGCTAAAAAATATGTTTAAATATATAATGTATCATTTTTTCAATTAGTCGACCCTTCTACCTTTCATTATTTTATGATATCCTAAAACTTGAGAATTTGTTTAATCAAAATTTAAATAGAATAAGTAGAATTAAGCAAAGCAAGAGAAACTATAGCTTTATTAAAATAAGATAGAAATATTAAGACATTTTTAATCAAAATTCAAGAGGATGAATTTTATGACGCTTGTCAATAGAAGAGAGATTTTCTTTAGTCCACTTCTTTTATAATATTTTGTTAAGATTGCTTTCATTAAATTCTATTCATGTATTAGTTGACTTATAATTAAGTGTCTTTTTTTATATAACTCATATTTTAAAAGCTCCTTCTTAAGTTTTCAAGCAGTTGCAAAAAAAAAACTTGCCTGCTATTCCTTGTTTTATGAGCATATTTATAGAAATAACAAAAAGTAATTTCCGAATTATTAAATTTAATAATTGACACAAATTAATGTTGTATCTCGATTAGAAAAAAAATTTGGATAATACAATTTAAGATTTTTATACTGAAAACATCTTAAGCGAAGAGATATTAATTTAGTACATACATTAAATAATTTAAATATAAACGAATCTTCCCTTTAAAGTTATAAAATGTTAAAATTTGATTTGTAAAAAAAAAAAATTTATTTCCATAATACTCTATATGCAGTATCCTAATAATTGTAATCTAATTGTCATACATATAAAATATTTCATCTTTGTATAACTTGAAATACTTCATATTCTTCTATAACAAAATTATCTTTAGCTTTCCTGATTGCTTTTTCATAAGTATCTTTTTTACACTTACCTTTAGTCAAAATATCTTTATTAATGAAAAGATCTGTTTTACCAAATGATGGACTTACCGTTACTCCATCTCTTATAGCAAACCCATTATCTTTAACCCGACTTAGAATACAATTTTCAACGTTACTTTTATCGTTAAATGAGAATATAAAACTTTCTTTAGTGTACATATAATATAAATCTCTATACCCAGGATTCCATGCAACAGGATTATACCCTCCAAGAATTTCGTCGCCACCTTTTACTTTAATAATCGTTACGGTTCGAGTTTGATTATCACAAAGCTCACGTAACTTTTCACATGTAAACCCATCACGAGATCCACGAAATAATAGTTTAAATTCATATTTTACATCTATTCTATAAAAAAGTAATGTAAACCTTCCAGCATCAACATCACTCCAATTAATCCATTTTGAGATTAATTTTACATGTTTATCTGTAATAACTTTCGAATCAATATTTGCTGAATCTACCCTTTTAATCTCTTTAGTACTTTGAGATTTTGGCTTGTGATCTGGTTTATTGTCATTGTCCAAGAAATATTTAAATAAATCCATATATAATTCCTTCGGTAATGCTTTCTTGTAAGGTAGAACTTTATTCAAGAATTCCCTGGAAGTAAAATTGTAGAATCTAATAAATGGAATGCATTGCCGTAAGGTATTCTTCAAAGCATTGAAGTCATCTTTTGAATAGCTAGAAGGTTCTGAAGGAAGTTCTTGATTTTGAATACGACCCCATTTAAGAACATGTTCCCAAACTTGAACATCGTTCATTGAAAGGTTTTCATTTTGAAGAAGTGTAACCAATGATTTTTCTGGAATCGAAGCAAAATCAACGGACCCAAATATTTTTTCTGGTTCCTTAGACATTAAATTGGTACAAAACTTTTGAAGTTCCAAGAAAGAATCATGCTCAAAACTTTTTTGATATATTAAATTAAAATTTTCTTCCATCCACGTTGCTCTGCTTTCAATCAAAAATGATTGTAAATGGATGACTAATTCTTGAAAACTTAATTCTCTGGCAGTGACCAAGATATTAATAATATCTGAAGTATCATATTCCTCCAAAGAAAGTTTGGCGCCATAAATATACCTTTAAATAGAAATTTTTTTTGGTAAAAATCAAAAAATATATCTATAAAAAAAAAATAAAAAAATTCAAATTACCTCAAGATTTTATGAAAACTCTCTGGTAAAATATTAGGCAATTTAATATGTACCAAAGTTCCATCATTTCTCTTTTTATTAGCGGTCAAAACTCTTTGCAAATAAGGAGAACGATAATATAAGATTATCATATGAGCACGAAATACTTTTACATATGGATCATTTCCAACTTCAATTGTAACATCATAATATTCATCATCCTCTAGACATTCAAGTAAATTTTGTGATAATTTCAATAAGAATTTGTTATCGACCATTATGATTTGTATCTCTTTTTTTTTTTCAAGAAAAAAATAAATTTTTTTTTTAACCCCAATCGCGAGTTGGAAATAAATAGTCAACGTGATTTCTATTGTCGCACAACATATTCATGTGCCAGCTTTTACCAGAATTGCAATATTATTTCTAAATTAGAAAAATAATAGTCTAAACCAGGTTTTAAAATCGGGTTTTAACTAGTTAGTTTAACCGAATCTCAAGTAGTTCGAGACCTGTTTCTACTGGTTTGGAGCATAAACCGAACCGTTTGAGCAACTTAACATCACTAAATTTAACTTAATAAATTGTACTTTAAAAATTACTCACTCATTGTAAGCTATTTATAATATTTATCAATATATGTGTATTACTAATCATATTGCTTAATGGATTATATTAGTTATTATCTTTTCAACTGTTTTACTTACAAATTTGTAGGCAATTTTTAAATATTTTAAAATATATTATTAAAAATTAATATAATTTTATAATAAATTTTATGATATTTTTTAAGTAAAAATTAAAAAAAATGTAAATAACTAGTGATTTTTTAAAGATAAATAAATAATAAGTTATTATAAAAAAAATTAAAATATTAAACTCATATATCTTGCTATCTATCAATCTCAAAAATATAAAAATACTACTATTTAATAGAACTTAATATATTGAATCCAATATATTAAATTTTATATTTTTGTAATTATTAAATAATAATTATTTTTAAAATTAAAAAATTAATAATATATTAATAATTATGAATTTTAAAAGTTTAAAAATACTACCATTAAATATATTATAATATGATAAAGCTAAATTTTTATTTTAATTTTTTATAATTATTAGATATCAAAATATTTTAAATTTTCTAAAATATTTAAGAAATAATTTTATACTTACAGTTTAATGAATATATAATAATTAAAATAATTATATTATGAATTTAAAATTTTTTTATATCTTAATATTTTTTAATAATATTTAAAAAAATTTATTAATGATATTTATATTTTCTTTAGAATTTATTAGTATTTTTAATTTTAATTAATAATAAAATAATTTAAATTTAAAAAGTAAAATTTTTTATAAATAAAATTAAATAAATTCTCTTTAAATTAAATATTCAATTATTATAAATTATATTTTTATTTATAAAATAATAAAAATAAATATATAATAAAAATAAATAAAAATATATAACTATTTCAAATATTAATCTATAGATTAAGTTAATAAAATTATTATATAGATCATTTTAAAAGTTTAAGTAATACAAAAAATTAGTTAAATCATATACCTAATATCATATATTTCTACTGTTTAAATTACTAATTTAATAAATTTATTTTTACAAAATTTTACTTTATATTAGTATATTTTATACATAATTTATATATATAATTTTTTTATATAATTTATATATAATTTCATATAATTAATTTATTATATTACTACTAAATTTATATCTTATTAATTTATTAATATTTAATTTAAATTACTTATAAAAATATGAATATTTTTTAAATATTTCAATTACCAAATTTTTAAACTAGTAGTAGAGAAATGGGCTTTTTGGCACAAATTCAAGTAGGTGGTCCAAATGCGTCCAGAAGGTTATTATGAGTATCAAAAATTTTACACATAGCGTAAACCTATTGTTATCATTCTTGTGACCTTAAGGAATTCATTTTGCTTTCTTGATTGGTATTCGCTCTGTAAACGTTTACTTCCTATATGTAAAAATTAATTTTCACTTTGGCACATTCAAGTCCGAAACCTTTTGGTTCTCATCCTGGATAACATAAGTTTTTCGCATATATTT